TTTCTCTCCACTTGAGCTCTTGGTATCAACTCCTATTTTTCCCTTCCCTCCCCCTCTTTCCTTCTCTCCCTCATGAACCCTTGATAATTTGCAAATTATTGTTTTTTCATATCTTGCACTGTCCGATGTCTCCCTTCACCAACTTTTCTACTGTCCGTCCCCCTGGGAGGTGATTATATGTAGATCATTGTGATTGGTTCCCTCTTTCTCCACCCAGCTTCCCCTTCCCCTCCTGGTATGGATACTCTCAATATTGTCCCAGGGGAGTTTATTTGTCCTATATTCCCCGTGTTTCCAGCTGTTATCTGTACCCATGTACATGTTCTTGTGTAGCCAGATTTGTAAGGTAGAATTAGGATCACGATAGTGGGGGTGGGGGGGAGGAAGCATTAAAGAAGCAGAGGACAGCTGTTTGTTTCATTGGTGCTATACTGCACCCTGACTGGCCTGTCTTCTGTCAACCTGGCTATGGCGCCCAGTTGTTTGATAAAACACTAGTCTCTTTGCAATGATAATATAATTGCATGTGATTAAATCCATTGTAGTTAAAAATGAGGTGGCTTCAAAAAATTCCATTATCCTTCATTCAACTTTTTTCATGAGATGGAAAACAATTGACAACTAAGAATCCTTTACCCAGCCAAATGAGGCCACAATATAAGGTGGAAATAAGAACCTTTTCAGACAAGGAAAAACACTTAGAATTAGTAAACAGTGTGACCAAACTAGCAATTTAACATATTTCTTAACTGAACAGAAGCCACATGTGTGCATTGCACACGTTATCTTGCAATCTGGGGTGTCATGTGTTCATCTATTCACGCCTCTCTCCAAAATTTAGTGGGTGTCTTTCATGTGCAAGACTTAGAAGGTCAAGGAGAGCCCTCTTAAACTGTCCTCAAAGAAGAGACAAGTGGAGCATGGTCAGAAAAGTCCTGGCTCATTTCTCCATCTGAGCCCTTCAATGATTCATGGAAATCACCTTCTACCTCAATTACAGGAAAGACAGGTTAAGCCTGTAGATCTAGAATGCACCATCTAGATTACCACTGCAGCTTTCTA